GGTGCTGCCGAGTTGGTCCCCGCAGCGCCGAGGTGCGGCGCTGTGGGGACCAACACGGCAGCACCCCTGCTGCTCTGTCCCAGGTTTACCCAAGTCAGCTGCTGCTGAAACTGACCAGGAAGCAGCGGCTGAATCGGGGACAGCTGGGGTGCTGCCGGGTTGGTCCCGCAGTTCCAAGGGGGCAGCGCTACGGGACCTACCCGGCAGCACTCCAGCTGCTCTGCCCCCAGCTTCCCCGATTCAGCCACTGATCAGTTTTAGCAGCGGCTGAATCGGAGAAGCCAGGGGCAGAGCAGCTCCAATGGTCCGGCTGCTCGGAGCACTTCCGGGTTCCTGATGATGCCGGACCATCAGGAGTGCCGGACCATCAGGAGTGCCGGACCAATGAAGTTTTACTGTAGCAGGATGCATCCCAAATAAGGGCATTGGGCATTTTAGGTATCTTACACAACACATAATTAATTGGTAAAATGACCAAGTCTCATTGCGCTATAAAATCGGCTTAGTAAGAAGAATCGATGGGAGGGATTGAGCAGGATTGACCCACAGGTCCTACTCATTGTAAACAGACCCTTTACACCGGCTGCAGTAGCGCACGGCTTCCCGATAAGTAGGAATCAAAGGGACCACAACATCCTGCCTGGTACTGTAGGTGGCATACGGGTGAAGTGTAAGTGAACGAGGCTTAATTACTGTATTATAATCTTTTATTGTTTTTGCATTGTCTTGTGCTGTACCAATTGCTTTAGAATTTATAGTATTTAGAGGTTTAAATTGTATAGTTATTGTTTTTATGGCTTTGAAAACTTAAATAACTATATTAACTGCTTAAAGCTTACAATAAATAAAGTGATTAAGTCTCTCTGGGGAGTTCTGGTTTCCCTCAGATCCACAATAAATTGAACCACATGACAACATTCAACCTCAGGCTACACCAAGTTACCTGTACCAAGTTTGGCAAAAACCTGCATGGATTCATCAAAGCGCTTCTGGCAGAAGAGGTTGAAGGCATAGAGGTTCTTAATGTGATGAATCTGTTGTCGCTTTTCACTATCTGAATCATCTTTCATTTCCTACACAAATACAAACCCAGAAATAATAGATCGAATTCTTGTGCTTAAATACAAGGAGAAAGGAGAAGAAAAACATTGACAGTGTTGTGCTTGAAATTCACTGAAAAGAATGGGAAAAACCAGCATTCAACAGGTGACCAAATGCCCCTAAACTTCTAAAACCAGACAGCTTGTCAAGGATAGGCAACACTAGATAGCAGAGCCCAGAGAAAGGAAGCTGTTAAATGGCTGAAGCGTTAGACAAGACGAACTAGCGAGTTTGGGTGAAACGAACATCAAGGAGGTTAGGACTTCATGGCGTGCCACAATGCTTAGTGGCAGCAGTTAGACTACAGGGACTGGCCCATGATTCTATACCTAGCACTACAAGCAGTACATTCCATGTAGACCACTAAAGATGACAACTTACCGCCAACTGCAGAGCCAATTCAAACTGCTTGTCTTGGAGAAGCTGCTGGATCTGGGTTGCTATGGAGACTGGAAGGAGACGCCAAACAAAATGATTGCTGGCCACATACACAATATTCGTACTACAATTGGATGAGAAAACGCCAGTTACAAAGATATACTAATGAGGCAGGAAATCTATACCATATTCTGCAAGAATAGTCAATCCTGGTTAACATATATATGGCTTAACCAGATATACTAAAGCATTGAGGTTACTAAAGTTCTCTTTTCCCTGCTCAATACAGTGTTCAAAGCAAACCAGAAAGAAATTAAACATACACTATGAATTCCTAAGGACACTCAGGGTATGTGTACACTTCAATTAGAAAACTTCAGAAATACATTAAAAGGAAGAGAAGTGCAAGGAAAGAGAACCTTATTCTGCGCTGCATATCAAAAGTTTGCTTGGGTATATTTGGGGGTACAAAGGGATATTCACTGAAAGGACAGTGTATTTGCAAACAGGAGTCTCAACCAGGCTTCGCTGAAACTCCTAAGGTAAATGAGAAATTTCTTTGAACAAGTCAGTAATTTGTTAGTTAATATTAGTCTCTAGAAAGCATACTACAATTTTGTTTTATATATAAAACCATTTCCTGTATTTTTACTTTATATATACACTTTAGAGATGTAGGAGTCTGTCTGCAAGTCCATTTGTTCAAGAACACCTCCTAAATCATAAGAACTAGCACCACCAAGTTTGGTATGCAGTTTCCTCTCCCCCTCACATAAAATCAAGGTCAGAGTTTGGCTATTTCAGGACAACTGGAAGTGCTGGGAAAGGGAGGTTTGGCTATTCCAGGACAACTGGAAGTGCTGGGAAAGGGACTGTATTCCATAATATGGAAAGGGAGGGACTAGGCTGTTTGGAGAGATGTGAGAGAGGCCACTGGGGGTAGGGAGCCTGCAGGGGAAAGCTATCTTGTCGTGTGTCTACTGGGGGCAGCTGTAGCACCAACATAGTGGCCAGCAGGGCTAGGCCTCTGTCTTCTTGCCAGACAGCAAATCAGGGAAGCATCCTCCTTGCCCCAAACCCTTTCCCCACTACCACCACCCCAGGCCTTTGGCTGCAGTGCTGGGGCACGGGAAGAGAAAAGGCCTGTGCTAGATGGGACCTTCCCCCCCACCTTCCGCCATCATCTCCTCAAACCTCACTCTCGCACCTTCCCACCCCCAGCCTCCTGCACTGCCTCCCTAAGGCCTTCCCCTGACTGCTACACTCCCATCCTGCCATAAGCTCCCTGCCCTGAAGGGCTCAGGTAGTGCCAGGTAAATCTTCTAGTTATTCCATAAATCTATAGTCCTTGATATGTGTGTGTGTCCCCTTGATGTGTGTGTGTGTGTCCTTGATGTGTGTAATGAAAACAAGAATAAGTTTAAGTGTAGGGGTATGAAGCAATGTGCTCATCTGGAATTGAATCTTAAAAGCTGGTGTTTGGGAATGGTAGGTTTGATGAGTGAGTTTTCAGAGGGTAAGAGGCTGAGTCCTGCAGCAAACGCCCTGAGTATTTGAGGGTTGCTGTGTGCCTGTTTCCTAGAAGGCAGGTCTTATGCTCTCAGAGGCTGGTCGTGGTTTCAGGGAACTGATCATAGAACACACAGAGACAAGACTACTGTATGCTAATGGCAGATGGTGGTGATGCGCATCACAATCCTGGGTACCCTCACAAAAGGTCACAGGATTCTATTTCTCCTAGAAGCTGGACATCAGGGCACTACTACACTGCCACCCCAATAATCAAGCCTAAAACAGAAATCAAAGGCCCTACTAGTGAGCAAGGGAAATACCAAGGGAAATACTGGAGTCACACCCTGGATCAGTTTACACACATTTACTGTCATCAAGTTCAAGTGATGCTGCCTTAAATAATAACTACTGTTCATTTTCAAAGGCTTTTACACATCCAATTAACCCTCAATATACATGTGAAGCAGGTAAGTATTACATTTTTCTTTACATATGGGGAAACTGAGAAAGAGCATTTAAGTGGCTTAGTCAAGGTCAGAGGGAGCCAGAATTAAGGTTTTTCTTGGTCTTCAGAATATGAGCCTCCCTAGCCCCCACCCTACAAATCACCAACACAATTAGCTTATCTTAAGCCTTTTTAAAAAAAAAATTCCCAGAGAAAGTTTGTGCAAACTTATCAGTGGTTCTAGCAGCCTTCTATCAAAAAAGGCAGTTCCATTCCAAATCACTAGGTTACATTAAGTCAAAGCAAGTTCAAGTTACATAACTAAGCTATGAGGATGCAAGTATTCTGTTACACCAGCTACAGCAGAATAAAGAGAGCAGTGAGAGGTACAGATGAATTTAGTTCCAAGAAAGCAGCAGCACAGAAGGGAACAATGTCCCTTATCGAGTAACCCTAAGATCAACACAACATGGTGTAGAGGCAGTATATTAGGGTTCTGACTATAAGCTGTTGACAGCTTCTGACTCCACAGGTCAGTGGAGAGACAACATGATGGTGGGACTTCTGATCTTTGTTTACTACAGTTATATGTGAGGTGGCATGGAAGGGTAAAATACACAGAAGCTCTCAAAAAGAGAGATGAAAAAATAAGTGTTCTTGTACCCTCCAGAGGTGATGAAGCGTGGTCTTTGCAGCTCAATACTCTGCACCAGCAGCCGTGGTTCGAAAGTGCGTATCTCCACATACCTTGGTAGCACTGCAATGATGTATGGCGGCTGATGTTCTGTTTGAGAAACGGAACAAACATGCATCACAGATTTCTCCAGTATACCCTGGAAAGGGCCATGAACTAACCACATAACTTCTCTCCAGAAATGTTCAGTAACTCATCCTTCTCACCCACCCCCAAACGCATAAAGAAGCTTAATGCTAGATATTAACAGCAATTGATTACTACCACTTCTCTCACCACACGCAAATTCTGCAGTACTGCTCACAAAAGCTAAAATCAGGTTTTAAATTACAAAAACAAGTGACATTTATAAAGTGTTTTATCTGTAGATCTCAAATCACTATACAGAGACAGAGCTATCCCTACTGTACTAATAAAGAATGTAAGGCACAGAAGTTAAGAGCAAGGAAGTAGACAAATATAATGCAGGCCTCCCCACTCTAAATCATTTGTCCATGCTATCTAGCACTCAGTTGATCAAATTAAAAGCAGTGGCACACAATCAAAGCCTTATACATTAAGCTAGTGAACTTAATCTGTTCCATTCGTAAGGAAAACTGATGAATCTGGTTGGGTTACAGCAAGGAAAAAACAAGTTCTAGTTCTCACCCATAACTATAGGAATGTCTGTCCAATTCAAGGCACCTTTCTGAGTACAGATCCCTTCTTCGTTAAGTACTACTGTTAGATCATCTTGACCAACTGCAACTTTCCCATCGGCTAAGGGAGCCACCAATGGTTCAAGCTGCTTCCCTGTGGGGAACAGTTCTTTGATGGACCCTTTTCCATCCACCTGTGTGAGAAAGGGGAGGGGAGAGGAGAAGAGAAGTCATTCAGCATTCACTGTGGAGTTCTCTCAAAACTATAAAAGATGATTTGATGAAGACAGACTTTATGGCACAATTTTTGTAAAGCGTGGCCAATTTCAAAATAGCCACTAACACATGAAGACAGTTTTGAAGGCTATTTGTAGGCCATCTTTCATATGTACCAAAATATTACTTGTTAGCATGCCAATTTAAAAATAAATTAGCGTTTTTCTTTTAATTTGTCCAATTTAAAATGTGTTTCCTAAATTTAATTCAGTTATACTGATCTTAGGCTTTATTGTGTTTTTGCAAGTTAACTGCCTGTCTTTCTGGAAAAAAATATCTAAAGGAACATATCAAACAGCAGCAAATTTTTATGATAAACCATGTGTGTGTCACACCCTGAATCCTCCCTCCCTGGGAGCCATCTATGTAATCTCCCTAAAATTATTAACATCCCCTTACATTCTCAGTTTAAAGTCCTGCTCTTACCCTTATCAGATAATAGTCTCTCTTGAAACCTACACATATAGAATTTTCACACCATGCCATAGACTTGGGCACATCCGGTACACTGAAGTCGCCCTGAAGGATAAAAGGAAAATAAGTCATAATGGCTGCTTCAGGAGCCAACTATGCCTTTCCTTGGACTCCTTTTAACCTTTGGTCTAGAAAGTTTAATATTTCCTGCACTGTCTCCCCCACAATTAATACTGAGCACATAATCTTTTCTCCACTCTGAGGGTATGTTTACACTACCACCCTAGTTCGAACTAGGGTGGTAGTGTAGACATACCCTTACATAGTAGATCAGTGGCTATTAGCCAGAATAGGCTGCAATGGTGTCCCTAGCCTCAGTCAGAGGCTGCAAATGGATGACAGGGGAGTGATCACTTGATGATTACCTGCTCTGTTCACTCCCTCTGGGGCATCTGCCATTGGCTACTATTGGCAGACAGGATACTGGGCTAAATGGACCTTTGGCCTGACCCTGTATGGCTGTTCTTATGAAAAGTTTCTTTTAAGACCACAGTTCTGTAGTTAGTAAGGTCCTCCAGCATTAGATTTTACTGCAAAACATTGACATGCTCATTACATAATTCTCACTAACATAATATTTTCTGAAGGAAAGGGCAGGGCTATATCTGTTTAAGAAGTGGAGTCTACTTAGCATCACTCTCAACCCTTTCTGGCCAGGGAATGGTGCCATTCAACAAGAATGTCCGAACTTCAGTTTTCTGCAATGCAGCAGGACATTCTGTAACTCGACAGCGAGACCTTTCTGAACTGTTATTTAATTGGCCCTCAAAGCGGACCAGAGCTCAGAATACGAAGGACAGTTAGGATTGCATACAAGTTGCACCTTTCTGTCACTACCCAGTGTCTTCAAGAAAGGAGTCAGCTTTTTGGTTCCTGGTGTTTTTCATGCTTTCATGCTCCCAATCCATTATTTCAATTGCTGCTTCCTTGCTAAACTACACAGCATCAGCACTGTCAAATGCACCCTGAAAGCTGAACCTATCGCTAACTCTGAATTATACTGCAGATTAAATTGGGGAATTAAAATAATTTTATATCTGGCAAGGGCTTTTGTACAATCCAGCTATTCTCACACAAGTCTCACCTGTAGCTCATAGAATTCCCTGTCCTTCCAGAAATAAAGTTGTAGTTTCTTCCGCACTGCCACGCACATCCTCAGCACCTCCTCTCCTGTATCTGAGTGCTGCAAAAACATAGTGTCTCAGGCATCAGCAGCAAAAGGTATATAAGGAAGATAACATAAGGCAGTAAATAATCCTAAACCTATAGCAAAACAGATTAATGGAAGAGCTAAGTTGCAAGCTGAGTAAACTTGTGTGTTCACATGGGATCACCATGGACTATTTTCAACTTGGGCCAAAACTAAAATGAATGTCAACTGAAGTTGAGCTCAGATATGCACGTGAGCAGAAGGACAATTCTTTAAGGTGTATCTGAAATAATTAATGCAAGATCATAAAAGTTCTATTGTGGCCAAGGTTTAAGAACACTGGTGTAAACAAAAGTTACCACTGGAGACTGATGTTCTAGGTCTACAGGAATTGGGTAGCAGGAGTATAAGCTTCCCCATACTTGCATTGTACCTCAGTCTCATTTTGGTGAGACTGCCACTAAACAGAAAACAATAGGCCGAAGATGAACAGGTGTATACTGACCTTTCTGCAGGGATCACCCATTGTGATGGTGATTCACACAATGAGGACATCTGCTCTATTTCCTAGTAGACAAGATTCACCAACCCCTTTCATGTTGTTCATCAGCCAACCTTCAAGATGGTAATGGCTCAGTCTACTACTACCCTGAGCTAGTTCTGAAGAAGAAAAAGCTACCAGTTCTCATTGCTCACTATTCAGCCACCTTTCCCCCATATTTTTCTTGTTGTCTCCATAATGAGCTAGGTGCTGTTAAAAAAAAGCACCATCTTCCCCAAAGATCCTTTAGTCAACAAGACAGAAGTTGTTTGTACCTTTCTCTCTGATTCTTCTAAGTGGCTAGTGGTACGACTGCTGTAACCAGCTGCCCTTCCACCTCATCATTAGTTAACTAGTTGATTGACAGGATCACGATAGGAATATAAAGATGGAGAGGGCCTTGCCTTATATATCAGCTGCTAAAGGGGTTCCACATATTATTGGTGAAATAGAAAGGATTGTGGCAACATGAAAAAATATAAGGGTAAATAAGCAGAGGGAACTGGCATTAGGCAGGACCTTGCACGTAAAGATAAGAAGTTTAGAACTTATGTGATGAAGGGATGGCAAACAAGGGATTCAAAGTAAAGGGGACATAACTATGTTAATGAATGAATACGATCTAAAGAACTAACAGTTTATCACTGGGCATAAGTTTGGGCTTGCCCAATTACAAAGACCGATCTCCCTTTGAAGAGTAAATCAAAGCACTAGAGGTATATCAACTTAAGTCTGCTCTAGCTATGAACAAGGCATGGGGACCAAAGTGCCAGTAAATTAATGAACTGATATACATATAAATAAGAGACCATTTTGTAAGATCTTAGGACCGGGATGAAAGATCACCTTATCCTTATGGAGCATTATATAAATTAAATCAGTCATTAGTGTCTAACTCTTCCAGATGCTCCAGGCTAAAGTAACTATTACCAGAAACAATTTTCAGAGAAAGATGGTGAAGTTTAAAAAAAAAAAAAAAAAAATCAAAGAATCACCCAAATGGTGGCTCCATTTCCTTTGTAAACCCCATTTCCAAGTCCCAGGATGGGGCTGGTTTCTAAATGGAAAAAGGACTCATCACTTAGAATGAAAATTCCGTTGAGTTTTGAATCCATGGATGAAAGCCCAAAATTAAAACCAAGCATACTCTTACAAAATGGTGCTCAAAGTGAAGTCCATTGTTAAACAGTGAAAATCAGGTTGATTATTTCAGAAGTGCTGAACCCCCAATGTCTCCCAATCTGAAATAATCAGCCTGATTTTCACAAGTGCTGAACCCCCAATGTCTCCCAATTAAGTAATTTCTCACAAATATAAAATGAAAATAATTTTGCATTCCCATCCCAAACCTTCTAAGCATTTTGAAAGACAGTCCTTGTTATTTGGCTCTCTCAGAATACTGTAGTAAGATGAAGGCCTAAAACATAAGCCCATGTAGCACAGGCCTGGTCTGAGGCCTAGCTAACAATGGACAAAACATAAAGCAAAGCTGTGAGCAAGAGATAGGACCCTGCTCACAGAACGTGGCACCAACAGGGCTGAGTGTGCAAAACACTAATTGGTAATATGCCCAGGTGTAGAACAGAAATTGGTACTGGTCATAAGTTGAAAGCACATGGTATCACCAGCTCATTAAAAAAAGACCTTGGTACACAGTCCCCACAGATACAGACCCAGGTTCAGGGTAGGGTCTACAATGACAGCATGATGGATAGAGATGATCTAATCAAACCACGAGGTACAAGATGATGTGTGGATCCAAGAAGAGTGAGAGGGTGGTAATCTGACAACATCAGGAGTGATGTGTAACTTGTTTGCACCTGTATATAAAGTGGTGTCTTGGGGGAACAGTCTTTGTCTAGCAGGAGGTCAGTGAGAGTTTTCCACTGGTTGTGCTGAGGCCATTGTTGTGAGTACGTGCGCGTAGTGATTCAGTCGAGTCTACCGATAATTATTACCAGGGCTCGACAATCTATGTAATCTACTCGCCTGTGGCGAGTAGATTACAACCCAGAAGAGCCAGGTTCGGGCGATCTGCGCATGCGCAGATTGCCAGACAGCGCGGCTAGCGAGCAGGGCTCGCCGCGGCTCGATGAGCCCTGATTATTACTGTACTTCGCTTAACAATAAACCTGGCCATGCACTTACAATCCTTATCCAATTGTGGTCTTTGGGGGGCTCTCTCAGGGTCTGCTGAATAAATCAACACAGCACACACCACTGCACACACACAAGCACCTTTCTGGTTATCATCATATCAACACGGCACACACCACTGCACACACACACAAGCACCTTTCTGGTTATCATCATCAACAGAGCCAGAGACCTCATCAGGAGGACCCCTCCTGACTGACAAACATTTGCAACATTAACCTGCCTCCACTTACCTGTAAGTCACAGGCAAACATTTTCAACATTAACCTGCCTCCACTTACCTGTAAGTCACAGGTGAAAAGAGATGCACCTTTTGCCTTAGAGACTGTGGTGATTTGTTGAAATGTCAGCAGGTCGTGGACATAAATGTTATTTTCTGTTTGACAAAATTCCTAATTACTGTTCAATAATTTAAAACATGACACATTTTTAATTAACCAAGTAGATAGACATTTTCCAAATTTAAATATGTTTACAAGGCAGATCCAAACTTCAAAGAGATATTAAGAATTTCAGGACAGGAAGGGGACCTTTTCCCTCCAGGCAATTTGAAAACCATCAGTGAGGCAGAGACAAAGTGGTTTCTAGGTTGCTAAAGACATTTGCACCAACTGTGGCAAAACTGCATGAAGAACCAAGAATAGGTGCTAAAAAAGGAAGTGGAAGCAAGACAGAAGAGAGAGCAGACTACAGCAAGTTCATGATGGAAGCTCTTTAGAAGAGAGACCATTTTGAACTAGCTCCTGAAATTAGTAGGTGGTGAATAAAGTTGAAGCTGGTGTGATCAAGGTTTTGTACGCACGAGAACGCAGGCGGCAGCATTCTACACATGCTGAAGTCGGGAGAGCTGGGACTTGGAGGTCAAAAAGGAGGGAGTTGTACCAAAAGTAAAAAGAGACAAGCAAGATCATAATTCAGCAGTAAGTCCACCCAACATACAGCACTCAAAATATTCAAAATTCTTGCATAAGTTATTTGAATGTTAGTGGTCTGTTCCCCAAATGTCTATACTGTATAAGGCTTTGCTGCAAGTTAGAGGTCTGAAGTCCAGATGTGATTTTTCAACACTAGACCATCATGCAAGTATGCAGAGGGACTGCCCAAACCAAGAAGGTAGCAAACAGTTTTAAGAATAAGCTTTAGAGTAGGTACAAGTGTGAATTATTCATTTTCTTGATATGAACTTATAGTCAGCATGTGGAAGGGAGAGACAGTCATGCTCAGCCACATAAATCCACCCAAAAATAAAGAATTAACTGAATATTAAAACATTTTTTACTTACCTAATAAACTGACCAGAATTTTGAATTGGGAAACAACATGAATCTGAAAAGAGAACTGTATTAAGTAAAAAACTCCTCTTACACTTCCCACCCCTATGGACTGATTTAGTCAGTCTATGTACAGTTTTATTTACCCACAGAAGGCAATGAAGATGGGACTACTGTTAGGGTGTGTCTAGACTACCTAGTTTTGTCGACAAAAGTGGACTTTTGTCGACAAAACTATACCAGCATCTACACTACCGCTGAGTTCTGTCGACGTTATGTCGACAGAACACAGCAGTTTTGTCGACGCTGGTAAACCTCATTTTACGAGGCATAGAAGGTGTTATTGCCTGTAACACTGCGTCCAGACTACGGAGTTCTGTCGACAAAGCAGCTTGCTTTGTCGACAGAACTCAATGTGTCTGGACGCTCTTTGTCGACGGAAGTTTTGTCGACAGTATCTGTCGACAAAACTTCCGTCGACAAAACGCGGTAGTCTAGACGTACCCTTACTTTCTTCACAGTATTTCTCTAGATACTGTACAATCCTGTACCTATACTCATGAGTGAGTGATTAAGCTAGCTTATATTGTTTATATTAGAACTGTCAAGCAATTAAAAATTAATCATGATTAATTGCAGTTTTAATTGTGCTATTAAATAGAATGCCATTTAATATTTTGGATGTTTTCTACATTTTCAAATATGCTGATTTAAAGTACAAAACATAAAAAGCATACAGTGATCGATTTATATTTTTTATTATAAATATTCATACTGTTAAAGAAAAGCATTTTAAAATTCATCTAATAAAGGTACTGTAGTGCAACCTCTTTATCATGAAAGTTGAAGTTACAAATGTAGACGTATGTACAAAAAGTTGCATTCAAAAATAAAAATGTAAAACTTTAGAGCAGCCACTGGCAACCTAAGCTAGTGAGTGGGCTGCCTAAGTGGTCCTCCAGCTCAGTGGTCTGCAAGATTGTCATAACCAACATGGCCTCCTGGGAAAGGGCAATTTTGTTGAGTGCCCAGCTCTCACAGTCAATGTTGTGTATAAGCGGCACACTTGGGCACTCTTGCTTTACATGCATGTTGCTTCTATAATACCAGCAACAAGAAAAAACTTCATGATGAAACCAGCAGACTCTGGCAACTCTGTGGGCAAACAAACAAAAACAAAATGTCTTGTGGGCCACACATACAACCCCAATAAACCATACGTGGCCAGAGGTTGCTCACCACTGCTTTAGTGCCTACAAGTCCACTTAGTTCTATTTCTTGTTCAGTCAATTACTCAAATTTGTTTACATTTGCAGGAGTAAATGCTGACCACTTCCTGTTCAGTGTCCTCAAAGTGAGAACAGGTTTTCATATGGCACTGTTTTAGTCGACATCACAAGATATTTACATGCCAGACGCATTAAAAATTCATATGTTCCTTCATACTTCAGCCACCACTCCAGATAATATGTTTGTTAATTAATCACGATTATTTTTTGTTGTTACTCACATGACTTAACTGCAACATGTCAACAACCCTAATTTAACAAGATTCAATCATCAACTGGTGCCTTTCAATAAAAGGATTCTCATCATCTAAGTCAGTAGTTAAAAATCTACTCTTCTCCAATGAATCCAATGAAAAGACAAGGTGCACAACCGCAGAGATATATTCAATGTGCTAACATCTATCCAAATTAAAATGGCAATAAAACTGACTACAAGTCAATATGCAGCTACTCTAGATACCAGCCTCTACTAGCCAAAACAATATTTGCATTTAACAGCACGTATCATCTAAAATATTGTCTCCCAATTTTATTGGAAGAAACTGGTCGACCATAAACAAACTAACAAAGGTGGAAAAACTGTCAAGGAAAAACAACACAAAACACGCTGGCCCGCCCCTAACATCGCGGCAGCCGGCGGTCCCCTGCAACCACCCGGCACGCCCACCCCAGGTAACCACCCGGTGCGCCCACCCCTAGGACTGGTTCGGGGGGGCGGGGAGAGTAGGAGAGGAAAAGATTATTGGGTTCTCGCGGAACCCTGGGATTCTGTGGAGCACTATTTGGGAAATACTGATCTAGGAATATCAAATGCATTAGTTCATTAATTCGCTCTTGCCATGTCAGATAGCAATGTATGATCTTCACCGCACAAATATATAAGATTGCTGGAAGTCATAATGATTCAGTGATCCAGTAAGAAAACCCAAGAGTCCTAACTCCAAGTCATCTGCTCTAACCACCAAAACAAGTTCCCTCCTACTGCGGAGGGATTGAATATATCTCTGTAATTAAATACCGGTTAATTTACTAGTCAAATAGTCGATGGAATGTCTATTGACTACTCAACTAGTCTAAAGGCACTTCTGCATTCCTTGTTTGAAATGTACAAGGCGGCCAGGGCTCTTGTACATTTCAAACTAGGAATGTGGAATTCCCTGTGCAGCTCAGGGCCAGCAGAAAGCCATGCTGACTCCCGACTACAGGCAGGCATGCCAGCTTTGAAAAGGACAAGAGTCCCCAGCAAGACATTTGCTCATCGGATAGTTGACTAGTCCTTAACTTCCCTAGAATGTATTTCACATTGCACTCTCTTAGAAACACTGGCAATTGTACCCAACATCAACAACTGCCATTTCTTACCTGCTGAATCTTTTTTGAGAAGTTCTTGTTGGATTTCTCTAGTGTCACTTCAAATCTGTTGCAACCTACCAAGCAGACATTAAGGATTGGCATAAAATGACAGTTGCCTTTAGACTTATTATTGCATAAACCCTTACTCTGAATCCCATAAAATTCTAGCAGAAATCAAATTAAAGGCAGAAAATTGCATGTCTTGTAAGAAGTGCGTGCTTCCTTTTACTTAAGCCAGTTTAGGGGAACTAAGCAAAAGTGTGGTTTAACCTCATGAAGTCAGAAAATCTGAGGGTCCCATCATTATCTAAATCTTTGACTTGGAATCTCAGATCAAAACAGAACATAACTAATGTTTTAAAACCCCAAACTACGAAGACAGCCCTAAAGCAGCTTTTATCCCAGCCAAATTTTAGCAACTCAAATCTCTAGGAAGCACATCACGGTAAGATGAGCAAAGGATAAAACACTTCACTACAACAATTTAAAAGGAGTTTTATGGATACAAACTTACAGCCACTTTCTGACGACGTAACCTCTCCTGGTATTGATGCAGAAAGGAGGAGAAATTTACCAAGTGAGACAAAAAGACACTAGCAACTCAAGTTTGATGATCTTGAGACTGCCTGCCTATGGAGGCTGGGGTAAATGAGCTGAAATTCAGGTTTAGAAATGCAAGTGGCTCCCTAGAAATATCACCCATCTGTGAGCATGTATAATCGGGAGCAGAAAGGCCACACCCTTTTACTTTTTCCTTCGCAATCAAATGAGCTATTAAAATATATTTAATAGTATGGCTTTCAGCACATTATAACATATCCGCTACTAAATAAAATGAACACTTTTTGTGGCATCACCAAAACAGATAAAAGGCACTTGTGGCCACTTTCTCAAAAGACAAGAAAAGGGAATACCTTTTGGTCCAGATTAAATGTCAAGATTCTGAACCAAGTTTAATTTGATTATGTACATTGATGAAGATGGTGGGTCTCTTCTTTTAATTAAGTTGCCCCTTTTATTATATTGCCAATCTATTTACTAGATACTGTTAAGAGTTTAGGCATGGTGAGTATAGTATTCATGTACATTACATTAATTTTGTACTATAAATTCAAATTTGGAAATCACTGTAGTTCAGATATTACTATTAGTTTTGGTAGAATCTTGAAGGAAAGGGTTATTTTAAAGCAGATAGCAAAATCTATAAGACAGTTAACAGTGAAGAAGTAAAGGGAAGTTAAGATCTGCACGTACTGCAATGGCCCTGTATAAATGTTTTCGTAAGCTGGAGGTGACAGTCTGTGGTTTACATACTACAACATGTACCCGTATTGTCAGGTTCACTAAAGAATTGAGAATGAAATACTGGCATAACATGTCACAAAAGCTTAATATTGTTTGTACAAGCTCACCTATATCCTTCCTGATCCTGTAAAGGAGGAGATGCCCTTGTTTGGTGCCAACAAGCAGCCATTCCTCTGTAAGGTAAGAGAATGATCATCAGTACCAAGAATATCCTCTCAGCTAAAATTAATTTGAAAATTCATTATCTTCTTAAACTGAAGCTCATTGTTGACTGGTCCAAAACATACTATAGCAAATTTCACAGCTGGGGAACTGTGTGTGGTTCTTTCAGTTTTCCCTACGGGAAGTGCTTACATATGGAGTGGCCTTTGTTTTTGGAAATAAACCTTTCCAGGAATCCCAAAGTAATGAAAACATAGCCCCAATACAAGAGCCTACTTGCTCTTCAAGTAAAAGGTGAGAGCTCTGCATTCTTCATAAACATACATTCACAGAAAGATAAACCACTTTTCAAGCATTGGCATAGCTACATACAGACGCCTGGTGTTCCTCTCAACTTATTGCTCTACATGTTGAAAAACTGGACAAAGTAGAACACTTGAGAAATTCACCATTTTTCCACATTCACACTTTGGCACACTGCGTATCAGAAGGCTCTGAATTTAAGTATTGCTATGCAACTTGTCCACAAGAGTCTTTGTTCATTAAATTTTTCAATTAATGTTGTCCTATAAGGGAAACCTTTAGTAAACATATAAAAATCTACCTTTCCCCTTTTTATACCATATTTTCTCAAAGCTTCTTGTATTTAAAAAGATCTTGTTCCCAACAAAGTCTCCTCTCCTTTTTAATCAGGAGATGAGGTACATTTATAATCCAGGAGACTGCGCTGCTCAAAAAACCTCACACGATTGTGTCATCAATAGATCAAAAATTTGTTTTTCAGTGAAGTTTCTCAATTTTCCAGTTTTTCCCACCGTATAGTGCCATTATAAGGAACACAGTCGATTTGGCTACAGAATTTAAGTTAGGCTATGTCTACACTGCTTCCCTCTTGCAGAAGAAGAAATGCAAATGGCGCGCTCATTAGCATATGTCGTACTCATTTGCACAGCCTCTTCCAATCCTTTCTGTGGAAGAGGTTTTTGCACAAAAAACCACAATGTAGACAGGACCATTTTATGCAAAAAAGCCTTTTGTGCAAGAACCCTGTCAACCTCATTTTTTGAGGGATAAAGGTTCTTGCGCAAAATGGGTTTTTTTGCGCAAAATGGCTCCATCTACACTGTAATTTTCTGCGCAAAAACTTCTTCCGCAAACAGGATCAGAAGAAGATATGCAAATGAGAGCACAACATATGCTAATGAGTGCTCTATTTGCATTTCCTCTTCCTCAAGAGAGAAGCTATATAGACATAGCCTCATTAGGGTTTTATTTAACAAGTTGACAAAGTTATTTTTACGTTAAAGTTTTTTTCCATAACATTTCTTTGAAACTACTTCAATAGTTCATTATTAGAGGAAGTCCCATGGAAAACTGATTAGTGGACACAGTGTGTAAATGAGGTAGCTGCAGGTGCATGATAAATAAAACATCACAGATATCACAAGTACAAGGTTGCTATGAATTGTGTACTTGCTAACCTTGATTTTTAATATTACAGCTTTATATACTACTTTAAGTAAACACTGCACTATCTGCAGTAATAGTTACCTGAACTGCCATTTAGACCTGATGAATGCTTAAAATTTGAATCTACATTGGTATAGCCCTGCAAATCCACGGAGATCAACTTTATATTTGGATGCAGATAACCATGGTTCAGTTTTGCAGATACAGACGCAGATAAAACGTTTTGCATTTAGAATCCTGAAAACGTACAGATATCCGCTTTATATCTGTGGCTAATTTTTGCGAAAATGGATACATATACAAATTTTGTATCCGCACAGGGTTCTATATATAGGCTAGCATAGCTGAGTGACATAGCTAACTCCTAGCATAAACGCAGCCAGTTAATTGAAAAATGTTTCAATTGACCTACCTAACCTCACTGGGGTGGGTGGAGGGCTGCTTACCTACGCTGATGGAAAACTCCTGCTGCCAGCACAGGCTGCATCTACACTATGGTGTTAAGGGCTGTTATGCTCGTAGTGCCACAGTATATACATGGCCTTAAATAACAGTTCTTAACTACAAAACAATCTTAACTGGTGGTGGGTGAGATGAAAAAATGTGTTTTCATTCACAAATAAAACAGATCTGGTAGAGCAAGACAAAGTGATACTCCTTGTGTTACAGCACAACACATTTTCTCCCTCTCTACCATTCAGACTCACACTCAGCCAAAAAAACCACTCACCATGCATGGAAGAGGAGAAGCAAAACTAGAACAAAAAAATTCCATCCCACAAGAAGCAAATTATCCATGACCAGATGTGCCAATACATACTGAGTGCAACCAGGTCAGTCAGGTCTCCAAAACGTTTAAAATCACACACACACCTAGACCTAAGTGTATCACTTCTACTATGCTTCAACTGTATCTTTTGCCATGAGTGGATGCTTTAAATCCCACTTCGGGGCAATTCCAGTCCCCTCTCTCTCTCGGCTCCCTGTGACGGGGGTCGATCCCCTCAAGCCGTAGCTTGGGCCAAGCTCAAGGTAGGTCACAAACGGTTTATGGAGAATTCACCACAAGTCTGGAGCGCACGGTCGGGACCAGCCCCAACGAGCCCGGCGAGGGGCTACCTGGGGCGATGCGCCACTGGGGTGTTGGGAGACGCCGGGGCACCGAGGGGGAACACGGTGGGGCCTGCCCCGGAGGTCGATCCCCTCAAGCCGTAGCTTGGGCCAAGCTCAAGGTAGGTCACAAACGGTTTATGGAGAATTCACCACAAGTCTGGAGCGCACGGTCGGGACCAGCCCCAACGAGCCCGGCGAGGGGCTACCTGGGGCGATGCGCCACTGGGGTGTTGGGAGACGCCGGGGCACCGAGGGGGAACACGGTGGGGCCTGCCCCGGAGGGGGGG